GACTGTGGTGTGACTGGTGTGAGCTCGGTGTGACTGGTGTGAGCTCGGTGTGACTGTGGTGTGACTGGTGTGAGCTCGGTGTGACTGTGGTGTGAGCTCGGTGTGACTGGTGTGACCGTGGTGTGAGCTCGGTGTGACTGGTGTGAGCTGGGTGTGAGAGCTGCAGCTTCAGCAGGTGGGCTGGGTGGGTGTGTCTGCTTTGCAGAAGTCTCTCCAGCCCCTTCTGGTGGCTGTGCTGTGGTGGGTGAACAAGGTCATGGTCCTGCAAAGCAGCTCTGCCCAGTCTGCCCTTTAATGAAGCAAATTGTTCCTAAAGGGGGCTCGTCATCCCTGAGATGACACAGGGATAACTCTGGCCTTGGAATCCCAGAATGGTTTTCTGCCAATTATCGGTGTGTGCTGGCCCAGCTCCTTCCCACAACCAGCTGAAGCTGCACCCGGGCTGTGATTCCACTTGTCGTGCCCTCATATGCAGAGCTGTGGGTGCTGGAGCAGGGCCACAGCTTCCCCTTTCCCAGGTGCAGCCTGGCTGAGGCTCAGCAGGAGCTGCCTGCAGTGCAGGAGCTGGGCTGCCCCCCTGGGGGGCTGGGGGGATCCTCCAGCAGCACCCACTGGTGCTCAGGGCTCAGAGCCTGCCCCACACTGCTCTTCAGACCCCCCGTGCCCCCCAGCAGCTGCTGGCTCTGACTCTGGTTCTCTCCCTGCAGCCCTCCTGCCCATTCCTGCCATCCGGCACCAGAGCTCCCGGAGCCCGGCGCTGCCCCACGGGTAATGCCCAGGACCTGCCTCCTCTCCCCCTGGAATGCCTCCTGCCCTGGGGGTGGGGAGGGCAGCTGGTTTCTCCTCTGCCCTGGGGGGCTTGGCTGACCCCTTGGTTGCTTCCCAGTAAGTTCAGGACCCTCTGCCCAGCCTCAGCCACCTGGGCCAGAAGGGAACTGTGGGTTTGTGAAATCGAGCAGCAGAGTCTGGAGCATGAAGTGTGCTCCCCTGAGCAAGGGGCTGCAGGGTGGGCTTGGGTGGGTACTGCAAACTCCTCAGCTGTGGAAAGGGCTTGAGCTGCCCCTGGGCTGTCTGGGCACGGGCAGTCTGCTCCAGGCCTCTGGTGCCCGATCCGTGTGGAACTTGTGCTGCAGGCTCCCTGCAGTGGGATTCCCAGCACGGCAGGACCCCGGGCCGGGGACCTTGAGGATCATTTTGCTTTAGCACTTGGAGAGCTGCTTGTCCAAATGCTCCGTGTTCCATGTCCCTGTCTGCTCTGGCCAGGAGGGACGGCTCATCTCCCCGTTCCTTGGGCACTCAGCACCCTCTGGATCTGGCACTGTGACAGACATCGGTACTCACAGCCCCCGGAGCCTCCGTGCCCCTGCCCGTGGTTCTGCAGCAGCTCCTTTGAGCTGTGGGTCCCTGTTCCATCGCAGCCCTCTGGGAGGCGTCCCTGCCACTGCAGAGCAAACCCCGGGAATGCTGGTGCTGTGTGGATTTCCCTGCTCTCACTCGTGGGCTTGTCCTGAACACGGGATGCAGCTTGTGTGCCTGGTGTTGATTTCAGACAGGGTGGATCCTGATGGTGTGTCCTGAGCAGCACCTTTCTGGTCCTGTTTCAGAAGCTGACACCTCCCTGATCATCCCATCTTGATCCAGGGTGACTCTGCTTAAATCTGGGAACCACCTGCACCCAAATCAAGTTGGGTTTGGGTCGAGTCTTTCATACAGACAGATGATTAAGTCTCCAACAACTGCTCCCCCAGTGGAAAGCCAGTTTCTCCATCTCTTTTCCTCCTCATGTTTTACATCTCTTGGCATTGGCTGTTTGCTACAAGTGAGTTTTACCTTCTTGTTCACAGACTTGTTGCCAAAACATCTCTGACCTCCCCTCCATGGCCTGAAGTGAAACTCCCAGATCCAGCAGAAGAGGCCAAGTATCATGCAGGTAAGGGTGTCCTGTCTCCAGGTGGGGCCCAACACTCCAGCATTGCCAGGGGTGGCCTGACTGAGCACGAGTCAGTGTCCTCAATGGTCTGAGAGTTTTTGTTCTTTGCATTTGTCTCGTGTCTGGTGTGTGTCAGTGTCATGGGGCTTGTGTCCAGCTGCAGGTACTGGAGACTGGGGTAGAATATGAGGTCTCTTTAGTTCATGACAGCTCATAACACCCCCAGAGGAATCTTGCCTGGTGTGATCTGGTGCTTCTTACACATGAAACAGGCCTTTGGGACAGCAGAAAACAATTGTTTTTCCTCTAATAGATAAATCCAAGAGCTAAAGCCAGCAGGAGCAGTTGGCTGGTGGGCACAGGAGAGAGCTGGCGTGGTTCAGTGCCTGAAGCAGAGCACTGGAGCCAGCAGGAGCAGTTGGCTGGTGGGCACATGGCAGAGCTGCAGGGGTGTGACAAGTCACAGAGCAGCTGGGAAGTGGCATCATGTCACTGAGCACGTGCTTGTCCCCACATCCATCAGCTCACAGAGGACACTCCACCAGTCGTCAGGGGAAGGGCCTGGAGCTGTTCCTCAGCCATCCTGGCTTGGCCATGCTGGAACCTGTCAGGCAGAGGTTCCCTGGCAGGTGGGGGTGACAATGAAGCACCTAGAAGGCTGATGTGCTGGTGTCACATCCCCTGCTAGCCATGGTAGGGGGACACAGAGATGTGTCTCAGCTCTAGGCAGGGGTCAGTTCTGCAGTTGCAGTGGTGGCCACGAGCAGTGCAGTGCTTGGTGCAGGCCAGGAGCTCTGGTGTTTATTGACAGGCAGTTGTACTGTCATCTTGGGATGTCTGTGAAAGGCCTGACTGCTCTGCTGGAGGTGGGAGAGCTGTGGGATGGAAAGGAGAGAAGGGGGGGGTCTTTCAGAGGGGGAGGGAGGGAAAGCTGAGCTGTGTCCCCCTCCGTGCAGACTGTCTCCTGTCCTCTGGCCAAGGCGTGTCAATGCCTGTGTGAGTGACGTGCTTTGGAGAGAGCCTCCTGCTCCAGCTCCCCTCTCTGCCTGTTTTTCATCCTGCTCTTTCTCTCCCTGGCACTGCTGGGATGGCTGCAGTGACAGATGATGTCTGTCCCCAGCATGGTGTGACCCCACAGTGAGCTGCCAGCTGCTGGGGGTGCTGTGCTGAGCCCTGTGGGGAGCAGGGTCCCATCCTCCCCTGCTGGGCTCACAGGGGCTCCCTGGGGCTGCTCTGACTTCTGTGCCTGGTCCCCTCCTGCTCTTTGTGAGCTTGGATCATTACCCTCTGGCTGTGCTTACCCAAAACACGGAACAGCCAGAGCACTTGGATCTGCCTTCTGTTCTCCTGCTGGCTCTGGGAACAGCCTGGATATTTTAGGAAGGGTTGCTCCACATGGTGCTGAGACACGAGCCACACCAGCAACCAAGTGGAAACACCACTTGGTGTGTCCTGTCACGAGAGGGGTCTGGAGGAGTTAGCAACAACTTCTGAGCCTAGGATGGAGAGTAACATGGACCTTTTTTGGTTACAAAAAGGCAAGAAAGCCCTGTGGGTAGAAACTTGAAATCTGGAGAGGAGATAACTCTGCATGGGTTTTGCTGAGGGAAAATTGTGGGCCAGCATTTTGAAATCTGGTGTTTGAAATGTTGACCACAGGACTGCTGGTAGACCTGGGTCAGCAGATGGAGCCAGGAGAAACTCTTCATACCCCGGGTGCAGGTGAGGGGATAACAAAGAGACAGGGTTGTGTTCTCTCCTGACTTGTTGCAGTGGAGCACTGTGAACCAGAGAGAAGGGTACAGAGTGGATTTTTGTTCTAGGACAGCAATTCCAGAAACACAGAACCTGAACTCTTCATCCTAGTGGAAGCTGCAGCAACTACTCTACTGCCTGGCACATGTTTTCTGTTCTTACCACTACCTTTATAGTTTGCATTTGCTAGATTGAAACTTGGACACTTGCAGAGTGTTCCTGTAAGGGATGGGTTTGGTCTGACTGGCTGCTAAATTCTTCTCTGTCCCAAGGGGATGTTGGTTTGTTCACATTCCAAGAAAAACCAATTTAGCCACTTTTTGAGGATAATGAAGGAAATCTACTTTTCCAGTTAGAGAAAAGCTGCTCTTTTTCTGAGCAGCTCCAGAGGGTGGAAAGCTGCTCCTTGGCAGTGGAATCGCTCTCACTAGGCGGTACCTTCTGACGTGCCTGTAGAAATTGGTGTTGGGTTCACTGCACAGGGAGCCCCTCACAGAAAGCAGAGTTTGTTGGTGTGCAGGACCTTGTCCCTGGGATGTGTGCTGCTCCTGGCACCTGCTCTGCCTGCATGTGTGCATGGAAGAGATTTGCAGAGAAAGGGCGAGGGAAAGGAACCCTGCCTTTGCTGCAGGTACAAGTTCTCAGGCCAGGCTCTGTTAGTTGTACTTTGCCAAACCCTTCCTGATGTTCCTGCACTCCTTACCTGGTATGAGAGTCCTGGGCCTTCTGCAGGTGACTTGGAAAAGGAGAGGAGCTCCCCTCCAAATGTAGGGTGCATGAACAAGCACTCCTGTCTGGAATGCTCTGTCTGGAAAGAGT